CTCCCCAACATCCGCTGCAGAAATGGAGACCAGGAGGCTAGGTCTCCTACAGACAGCTGTGAGAGTTCATTTTCCATTTTGCAAACTAATTTCGTTCTTGTCAGTTGCAATGCTCTGCCAAGTGGTAGATGGGAATTTCTAAATCAAAAACCACTAACCTCAAACCACAACCAGCCCATGTCAAACTTCAGAAACTACTCCCAGAAACTACATACCAGAACGTATGGTAATAATACTATAACTATTTGTAACATACTGCCAGGTTTGTCACGTTTAGAAAATTCATAGCACATTTTTGGCACACAATCTATTCAGAATAACGGTGATAAAGATGTATATATAAAAATGTATGTTTTTAATGGCCCTATTTATTTTATTGATGCAAGACAGTACGTTAGCTAAATCTCCATCATCCGTCTGTATGCTTCAGGTACAGATTAGGTCCCGGTTGTTGCAAAGCCGGTTGTTTATGTCTTTAATCCAATTATGCTCAAAGCCTTCAAAATTGATATAGAAGCTCTGCAGACTTTTAGTTGCTGTGAGGGGTGTGTGCGCGCACGCGCATGTACCCGTGCCCATGCACGCACACCCTCTCTACCTTCTCTGAGAGACCTTATTTCATTGGGGGGGAAAAAACCTGAAATATTTTAAGATTTATGAAGTCAGAAGCATTTCTGACAACTTTCGAGGGTTGCTTTAAGACTTTCATTGCTTCAACATGAACTAATAACCCAAGGGAAGCTGAAACCTTCACTAGAATTTAAAGCTGGAAGTCTGAACCCTCAGGACCCAATATCTAAAAGAGTTGCTAAGAGTCTTGACAGGAGATCAAGACCAGGACGGAGCTGGGAAATAATAACAAAGTCCATTCCGAAGGTGGTGAGGAAGCAGACTCTTAGCTCAGGAACCGGCAGGGGGAAGAAAAGCCAGGTAGAGGAAAGTTCTGGCTGGGATGGCAGCACTGGTGGGGAAGTGAGGCCATGGTGGGACCGTGCAGCAGGGGAGGAACCACTCTCAGTAAGTCAGGACGGGTATGTTCCTACGGAATCTCTTCTATTTATTCTCTCTGTTTGCACCGAGCCTGTTCATCATAGCCTGCATGGCTCATAGGACCACGCTGTGACCCAGTGCAACTTCATGTCATCCAGGGTCAGCCAGGCCTTCTGGTGCTGCCTGCTCCACGGAGGATTCAAGAGCCGGGCCAGCGTAGGTCACATTGCCACATTTCGGATTCACGGACACCCAGTCTCTCCTTGACATCAAAGTCAACTGCATTCCTCTGGGCCGCCTGAAGCGCTCAGCCTCCCGCTTATTGACCACCGTGCAAACGCTTCCCGGGCTCCACTGAGGCCAGTCCGGGTAGTCTCTGGTTTTTTTCAGTCTCTAATTCGATCCTTCTTTCTCCTTACCATCATGCCACTTTCATCATGGGAAAGACGACTCCTCAAATCCTACCATTTAACTCTTACGGAGCCCTTCTGTAACCCATGCTCTGAATGAGTGCTCTGAGTGGGTGCCATGTGGGGCTGCGGAAAGGATACTTTCAATCTGCTTCAGTCCTGACTCAACCACTTTCTAGCTGTGTGACTTTGAGCAAATTAACTTAACTTCGCTAGGCCTCAGCGTGCTCATCTTCGAAATGGTCCTAATAATGCATATCATCATAGAGGATCATCTGAGACATCAGGGGCTTGTACGTGTAAATCACTTGCCCGGAACCACACAGCAGTTAACTCCTGTGTCACCTTCCTCTCCCTGGCTTTCTCTTTTATCTTTGCCCCACTCCACCTTCAAACTCGGGCCTCCCCCTTTCCCTCCTTACTTCATGGTGCCTCAGTTAAACCTGCACCTACCCAGGGCAAACGGCTTCATTTCCCTTCCCTCCCTGCCCCTCACTTGGATTAGCCCATCTCTTGTCTTTCAGCTCTTCCTTTCCAGCAGCTTCTGATCCCGAGACAGCAAAGATGCTCAAAGTGGTATTGTCCTAAAGAGAAAAACCTTCCTTCGTCCTACTTCCCGATGATGTTTTTCATATTTGTTGATAATCTAAACCTCATACAAATCACTGCCCTAGCTAGCCTAGAAGTCTATTAAGAGATGATTACACATACAGGTATAATCTTGGGGGTGAGGCCCAATGGGGAACCCCGGTCTCAGGCTGCTCCCTTGTCCTTAGACAGAGCCCCAACCTGTGCCAGATACATGACACTAATATTTGGAAGACTCAGTAAAGGCCATCATTTCATCCCTCGTCCAATGTTTCGGTGCTTCCAAAATTCTAATTTAGGTTCCAGCGGCCTATTTTTCGTCCACCATTAAAAAAAATTTCACCCTTGTGTTTAAAGCTCTGGATTGCGTAATTCTAATTCTTCGTGAGTTAAGGGTAGTTAGTCCTCCTCACTTCCTGCTTACGCCTTGCTTATTAAAAAGCATTGTTTTTCTCCCTAATGGAGACTAAGGCTTCTATTTCTGGATCTTTCTGGTAGTCCTTTGTGACCAGTCTTTTCCTGTTTTTTTTTTTGTGGTTTTTTTTTTGTTTTTTTTTGTTTGTTTGTTTTTTTCAGCTTTCTCCATCATTATCCTCCCACATACTCTTAACTACAGCTAAATTGGTTAACTCACTGTTTGGCAAACAGGCCCTGATGTTTCCCACTCACATCTGTGCACCAAAACAGCGGTTCTCTCGTCTCTAAGCCTCGGTGGCTCTTCCTTGTTAAGGACCAGGCTGGATCCCACAGTCCTCCTCAGGTCTGCTCTGTTTGCAACTGAAAATACGTCCTCTCTCCTCTGAAGTCCTTCCGTGTTTGTAGCTCAGCCACGAGGCTCCAAGCCTTACGACAGCTCTTTCTTAAATTGTTGATCGGCTTTATTATTTGATCTTGTGTGTGCATACTTTGTCTCTCAGTTAGCCAGCAAGGTTCTGGTGGGCAGAGACCATTTTTCTACCATCCGCTGCCATCCCCGGCATAGCCCAGGACAGAGTAAGTACTTCTTATGTCTCTTAATGTTCCCTCCCCAAGTATTATCCCACTGTTACCCTAATTGACCTTTACTTTATTTCTGACTCTTTTCGCAGTACAGATTTTTAAAAAATTTTGAAATCACTCTGCAATCCCTGGAAAGCATCCTTCTTCCAGATTTGATTTTAGATGTGACTTAATAAGCCTAATAATGGTTCCTTCTCTTAGCCATTAACAAATCAGTCCAAGAATATCACAAGTTCAATATCCACTGTGAGCAGGGCACTGAAACAAGGGCTTATATTAAACATTACAGAAAATGTGGAAGATGTGATACAAAAGAGCAGGAGTTCAGAGTTGATGATATATCGTGTTTGTGTGTGTGTGTGTGTGTGTGTGTATCCCTAAACTCTCTCTATACATTTATGTATATGTTAAATATCTACGAAATCACTTAACACCGAAAAGAATGTAAAGAGTGCAAATATATATAATGAAAAACGATTAGGAGTTTACAGAAGAACCATTCTACTGAATTATGCCTTTTTGGGGAAAAATATCTTGGAACAGGTGATTTGGAGAGGCTGCAGAGTCCATAAGAGCAAAGCCCATGGGGCACCTGGGTGGCTCAGTGGGTTAAAGCCTTGGCCTTCGGCTCAGGTCATGATCTCAGGGTCCTGGGATCAAGCCCCACATCGGGCTCTCTGCTCAGCAGGGATCCTGCTTCTCCCTCTCTCTGCCTGCCTTTCTGCCTACTTGTGATCTCTCTCTCTCTCTCTGTATCAAATAAATAAATAAAATCTTTAAAAAAAAAAAAAAAAAGAGCAAAGCCTATGCCTCTTTTTGCTCACCGTCTCTCCCCACCACTTCCTGCAGCGCCTGGTTCACTGTAGCCCGCCGTTCACAGTGCCTGAAGGCACGAATAGCCAAATGCTGAAAGAAGGGAAGGCTCGGTTACGTAGCAGAGCGAGTGTGTTTTGCTAGGGACACAGTCATTTATTTTCCTGGGTGGAGCCAAGAAATAACATGCAAAATGATGGAAAGGAAAAAAGAGAAGGAAAATGATGAATGGCATTGAAGTCTTGCCAGGAATTTTGGTTTTAACAGATAGTAACAAACACTTTATTATCCCTTCATTTATTTATTCTGCAAATATGTCTTAAGCATCTACCGTCTGCCAAGCACCGTGCGAAGAGCCGAGGGGTCTGTACTGAACAGAATGCAGTCTCTGTCTTTGGGGTTGGGCAGCCTTTCCACCGTGAGTGGTGTGGCGGCTCGCACTTACGGCTCTGGTTATTGTTGTCCTCAGAGTATTTAGCAGAGGGGAGCAATCTGTCCAGCCTCCATCATAGACGGTGCCGGCGGAGAGCAGAAGCCTTCATTAAAATGAGCCTCAATGTGAAGTACGTCAAAATAACAGATGATTTGAGGGCAGTAAGGAGGATTGGAAACTTAGGGAGGAACTGTTTGCCCGGAAGGTTGTCTGGGATGATAGAATGGTCGATTGAGGACCCGTGGAACCAGCCCGAGTTTATTTACGGGCGCTTGCATGAGCCCAGGACTGTCAGTTTCCTCGTGTTGGGGCCTGAATGATGGGCTAAAAGGATAAAAACTCTTGGTTCAGGGAAAAAAAAAAAAAAAGAAGATGTTTACATTGATTTTTTTTTTCTTTTGGTTTTTCAGATTTTACTTGCCCTTTGGCATATGTCCCTAGAGAGCCCTGGCTGAAATCAATTTTATTAGAAACCAAACACAGAAATAACAACTTTTATTTAGGGACAGAACTCTGGGAGTCAGAGGACGCAGCAAATTAATTTTAGGGCAGTTGTGGAAATGCACGAGACCTCAGAGCCCTACTTCCAAAAATGATGTTTCATGAGAAGACACTGGTTCCTTTATTTCTGAGATCTTAGGAATTCCAAGATTCCCACTTGGTACTAGAAGATCTCGGCTTCATTTTCCACTTATCTCATTTTCCCCCCCTTTTTCTCCTTTTTTTCATTTCTTTCTTTCTTTTTCTTTCTTTTTTTTTTTTTCCAGGATGACGGCCTCCCCGAAAATGAACATCAGCTGTCAGTAGCTGGAAAGATAAAGAAGCATTTCAACACAGGCCCCAAGCCGAACAGCACGGCAGCTGGAGTTTCTGTCATAGCAGTAAGCATCTGAAATATCCACCTATGACTTTTTAAAAGCCATCCACCTAAGAGACAGGCATTACTCAGGAGATTCCACCCAGAGACAGCAGAATGGGTCATTTCTTTAGATAGCTCGACCACTGAACGCTCTGGGGGAGGTTTGGGGCTTCTATATATGATGTGTTTTTGCCGAACATTTCCCTAGGAGTCATCTCATTATCCAACACCTCCAGGGTGTCTCGCAGTATATATTAATCTCATGATTTATTTTTTAAAGCTGAAAACCTCCCCCACAGTGGACTCTGTGCCAATGCAAACTTTGGGGCTCGGAGAAAAAGAGTTCCTAGTGTCCTTTTGCTAGGACCTGGAGGGAGAGGGAAGCCAAGAGAGACGACACTGCAGAGAGAGATTGGAACACTATAGATCTTTGTTCATGCAAAAACCCAAATGAAAGCCAAAACATTAGCAGAAGGCTTACACAGTAAGATTTTCAGTGAGACTGAGCTGCTGCGAACACCCAAAGAAAAAAAAGGTGTCTTGCTCCTTAGAAATTTCTGTTTTTAAAGTTGAAAGTCTTTTACCATTTACCATTTTATTGATGTGGCTGCACAAGGATTTTTTTTTTCCTGTTCTATACATGCAGACATACACTATATGCAATTTGATAGCAGCTCTAGGCAAAGATTAAATTGGGCAGAGAAATAATGAAACCTCATACTTCCTGGTGTCATATTCTAGAGTAAATATATTCAAGTCCCAGATTACTTGAGTTTTTAATAATTTCCTCTTTTTTCAGAGTATGTAAATTTGAACAGCATATTCCATGTGAAATCACTTGGGCTGTTTTTCTTTTCTCGACAAAGAACTTAGACACTGCAATGTTGAATTTTAAAAAAAAGTATATACGCTACAAAACAGTATCTTGCGCTCAGGAGCAATACTGAATGTTTTACCACTTTTTCGGGTGTCTTATCCCCTTCCTCTTTTTCTTTTTTGCTTGTACAAGAGCTCCAGATAAACAGAAGGTAAATAGGTAACATATTCAATCCAGTCCATTCCGGAGCTGCGTTACTATTTGATCGGAGTTTCCAGAATTTGCAGGTGGCACAAATGTACGCATACACTTTCCAGTACTGTTTGCATTCCGTGTTTGGAGTTACGAGTGAGTAACTGGCTCCTGAACCCATTCACGGTGTTAAGTCGAATGTAGACTTTCAGATGCTCCTCCATGCTGCTAAGGGTTTAAAATTGAAAGTCGTTCTTCCTTCCCTCTCTCTCTAGTTTGTTCTAAGGAAATTCAGTGTAGAAGTACATTGTCCTTCATGTCCTTCTAGATGTCAGCGTTCTTTGTTCTCGGCTAATATTCAGTCAGTAATTTGGGGAAGTAATAATCTCATGGCAATTCTCAATGAAATCAGACCTTCTACACTCTGTTTTCATCATTCATTTAAGATATAAGTCTATTCCAAAATGTTCGATTCCACACTTTGCTTTTGGAATGGACTGCCAGCACGCTTGTCCATGAAAAGGACTGCTTTCCTGCTCCTTCTGAGGGCTTACGGCTGTGAGAAGGGTGCTTTTCCACCTCTGTCATTTTGTTTTTTTGTTTCTGTTTTTCTTGGTCTTTTAATTAGTCTCTGGTTAAGTTTGCCTTGGTTGCTCAGTAATGGTTTGTTCACAGTATTATGGGAGTCTTATAATGACTAAGGGCAGGAACTTCAGGGCAATTTTCCCAGGGATAGACAACACAGATTTGAGGAGAAATCCTACTTTAATCAAACTGGGATGAATTCCAAAACCTAATCCATGTGGTTTATTAAAACTTTATCTAAGTAGATCTCCAAAAGACTCCAACTAGTATTTAAAGATCAAGGTCTATGGATTTCCCCCCCTAACTATCACGATTGGACCATTTTGAATACAATTCCATATCAGTTCCTCCGTTCATCACTAACATGTTCCCATGGAAACTGTAAAAACTAGCAGTATACTTATAAATTGCAAAATGGACGGTGTAGGCCTGATTACGCATTGGTTATGTGTGTATTGAATCTTCTTTATTCACTACAAATGTAAGAAAAAAAAGTATCAACTTAACTCAGACTCAAAATAATTAACTATTTGGGGAAATACCTGGAAAAATGCCTTGCCCACTCTAAAGCACAATTCACATGTTAATTAGTATTGTTGGTGTTTCAAGCATGAAAGAGCACAACTGTAAATTTCAGGGGTTGTTTTGGGAGACTCTGGCCTGCCATGCACCCTCTCCAGAATGCTTTTCTCTCATAAATGTCCACACCCTCCATTAGAACCTGGGAGAGGTCGCCAGTGGTAGGGAGGGGCTGGGGATCAGAAGTTGGCCAGTTTGGCTGCCTTTGTGATTAACTTCCAGAATAGCCTTGGGTAAGTCAGCTGATACTCCACAGCAGTTTTCCCATTCTTACAGGGCAAAGACTAAGTCTCAGGGGACCACCACAAGAGAAAGGAGCCCTGGCATTGAATAATACAGTTGACCCTTGAAAAGCACGGGTTTGCACTGTGCGTGTCCACTTAGACATGGACTTTTTTAAAGTAAATAAATATAGGACTGTAAGTGTGTTTTCTCTGCCGATTTTCTTAATGACATGTTCTTTTCTCCAGCTTACTTTATTTATACAGTTTATAATACATATCCAAAATATGTGTTAATCGACTGTTTATGTTATTAGTAAAGTTTCCTCTGGTTAGCAATAGGCTCTTAGTAGTTAAGTTTTCGGGGGTCAGAATTTATACATGGATTTCCATGTGCTGGGGGTCAGCATCCCTAACCCTCTCATTGTTCAAGAGTCAACTGTATTCCAATTCAAACTAAGCTTTCTCTGCAAAAGAATGATATTCTGCTGTAAGGCAGAACGTAAGTGGTAGGTCAGAGGAGGAGTCTTCATAAATGGTGCATTCTGTCCACACCATTTGGCAATTTAATAATGCAATATAATTATTATTTCACCTATGTGAAAATTCCTATAATTAATATAATTTTGTGATGGCTTCTATTGATAGATATAGAAAAAAACTGATTGCAGCATAAATTTCATTCAGACAGACTTTTGTCCCACGGGCATGTATGCTCTCCCCAGAGGCTATCAAATAATGTATTTTATTTTAAACTGCCTCTATGGGACTGATTGCTTGGAAATTACATACACCCTTTAAAATGAAAAATTCTACTATTTTAGAATGTAGTGTCCATCACCTTGTATTTTCAGGAAATGAACAGTTAAATCATTAGTCTGTAACTGGCACTTCTCCTTCCTCAGTTAGAAATCTAACTACCCACTGGAGATGAGCAGTGCTTATAAAGGAATTCAGGGCACCTTTTCTTTCCTAGAGTGACAAAGGAAAAAGAAGATACTGTCATAACAAACAGAATCTAGTCACAGATGTAAATTACGACATGAGCGTAGTTTAGCGTGCACTCATGGTTCTGAACCTCAATGTTTTCTGTTCCTGTTGTCATTTTTTCCTTCTCTGCTCTCTACCCCCTCCATCATTAAGACCAAAGAAAGGACAAGTGATAACTTTATATTAAGGTTGCAAGAGGTCCTCAAGTTGACCAGGAGAGTAATTACCAGCTGGAGGCCGGCTGGGATCATCCAGCCCTTCTCAAAGGAGAAAGGGTGTTCTGACATTGAGGTCAGGGAATGTGATTAGGGGGAAACCCATTGCCGTCCTTGAAACTGCAACACTGCCTCTCAGAAAGACTCCTTTGTCCCTTTACTACCTTCCCCAGTAGTTGGGGGATTAAAACACACACACACACACACACACACACACACACACACACACACACACCCACACACCAGAACAGAGAAAGGGAAACAAAAGGTTATTAAAATGCAATTTATAGACATAAAATGGAATTAGAGATGACATTTTAACGGTGGACTTCTTGGGAGCTGAGGAAGGGAGGGAGGCATTATTAGATTTGCTCAGCTTGATGAAGAACCGATGACTAAGATGTCAGTTCCAATTTATTTTTCCTCATTTAATTCTGTTTATTATTTTAACCGATAATTTTCCTAATGCTTTAAAGTTCTTCTTTTGCATTTTGCTCATGCAAATGGAGCATTTCCGTCTAATTGAACAAATCCATACTAATCAGTGTGCAAACAACAGTGATTCTGGGAAGCTGAGTTTACCCAGAGAGCCAGTCGCACTAGTACATTCCTGTGTGTCCTTGTTATGGGACACTTTGCCTGTAGATGGCAACAGAGGACTAGTTACCAAGTGGCCAACTCCATGAACTCAAATAGAAGCGTGGGATTTCATATACTCCCTAACCGCAAGGGGACTTGGATTTTTTTTTCCCCCTACATGAAACGAAATGCACTCTTCTTTTTTTTTTTTTTTTAAGGATTAAAATCTCACATTGCTCTTCTGTGAACACCGGGATAGCCTAGTTTATTATAATCAGAACACCAAACCCTCCAAGCAGTTTTTAGTTCGAATGCCTGGTGCCCCCGCATGTTTTTGCAATGCCTTTGTGAATTCAGAAGTGGGGACTACGGGCATGGCACCGTTATCACACTTGAAAGCACTCATGAGCGTCTCTCGAAAGAAAAGCGTGCAAGGTGCATCCTGTCCTGGGTGGGATGGGGGAGTGGGCCTACAGCATGATGACTGTTTTCCAATTGGGGGATTGAATCTTTCATTCCTAGGTAGCCAAAGGCTGACATCTTATTCCAGGATGAACAACTTTGAGAACTTACCCTGTCTTCTATTTACCGTACCTTTTGTGGTTCATAAGCGCTTAACTGTACATACGCATTTTTAATATACAGTGAAAACTCTTTTTCCTTTTCTTTTCTATATTTTCAGAAAGAAAACTGACTGACTGTTTTATATTATATCTTTTTAGCCCAGGAATGTAATTAAGATTCACCTTTAAGAGTAGCTCTGCCTTTGAAGATTAACTCTTAAAGAAATCCAAACTGTTGTGACTTGTGAGGGTCCTTTACATCTTTTATTTCATATGCATGA